ACAATAATCTCCATAATACCTCACCCCCTTCCTCCTCATGCCTTCCACATCTGTCAGTTGGAAGAGCTGGACCGCCCCACCCCGGGAAACACAACTGACATGGCCCCAATTAGTGTCACACATTCTCAACGTCGCAGGGACCATGCTGCCGCCCTCACTACCAGCATCTTTTTGACCGCTAATGATCGAGATGCAGATAATGCGGACGAAGCATCATTGTAAATAAAATTTGTCTCCCTCTCCCTCCTAGCTGTTAGCCAAACGTCTCCAATTAGATAAAAGTAATTGGTTTTTCGGCTAAATGGATACAGGCTCCAGCATGCTAAATTTCCTCACACCTGGACTAACTATACACCAACTCAACTCTCCTACGTCATGCCGCGGTGGTGGCGCGCCGGACGCACTTCCGGTCTGGGGCGGTGGGCAGAAGTCGCCGTGCCAGACATGCATTTCTGTATTCCTTTGGAAGAAACGAGACAAAAAACCTGCCTTCTCGTCAAAATGCTGCGATGGGGCTTTACCAAGAGAGTCTGGGAAGGTTTGAAGATCAGTTTTCATGTGTTTTTGCACCCTCCGTTCGTCCGAGAACGTGGATAGCAGCTGTGAAAAGGGCAAACCAGACGCTGTCGAACTACGATTGCGTGTGCGGGCCACAATTTGTGGTCGCCAGATGTATTTGCTTTGTTCCAACATGACCGAGAGAAAACCCCCAAGTTGTCCAGACCACCCACGGATTCAGTGCGTCTTCAAATTCACATGGCCGCCTGATCGTTCGAACTTTCGTCTGCTCTTTCAAAGTTGTCTGCTTTTTGTCGTCTGCTCGTTCAAACAAAAGTGGCCCGTAGACCAAACTTTGACCCGGTGATTGCAATAAGAAGTAATTGCAGGCCTCAAAAGGCTTAAGTGGGCTCGGTGTAAACAGTAGATACAAGATGTTAATTATTGGTACCGGTGGCCATCACGTACTTGTTACGCTTGGTCTGTTCCCGCTTCCGATTTTCAGCATCGACGTCGATCATCGCCGCTACCTTTTACACTTTTGCAGCACGAGCGACGTCGCGACCGAAAATAGCTACAAGAATCTCATCATGGTTTTGGCGTCCATTCTGCAGCGTTCATGCGAATGAATCGCCGCACGTCAAATTATTTGCGGAAAGTTTAGCGGCATAACGAGCCTTGATAATTTTGCTCAGGCGATTGAAGTGGTAAGACATTGCGATGAGGATGTAGGATCGACAACTCCAACACGAAAAAGAGTATGCAGACTCACACAGACGCCGACAACGTGACATTCGAATGGTTTGTTCACGCGGGACGCGGTGCTTCTTGCCGGTACTCCATTGCCCGTGCGTTCGAACTGCCGTCTGCTCTTTCAAACTTAACTGCTTTTTGTCGACAGTTCGTTCAAACGACAGCGGCCCGTAAGCCAAATGTTGACCCGGTAATTGCGATAAGAACTAAGTGCAGGCCTCAAAACACTTTTGAAGTTTGGTTGGGGTAAGTCGGCTAAGTGTAAACAGATACAAGAAGTTGTTGATCATTGTTACCAGTGGCCATCACCGACTTGTAATGCCCGATTCTACTTGCGGTTTTCAGTATCGACGTCCACCATCTCAGCTACGGTCCACGCTTTTGCAGGTCGAGCGACGTCGCGACTGAAAATAGCGAGCAGAATCTCATCGTGGGAGTCAGGCTTTTGCGCCCATTCTGCGGCGTCCACGTGAAATGAATCGCCGCACGTCACATTATTCACGCAAAGTTTTGCCTCAATAGTTTTGCTGAAGCCGCTCAAGTAGTCAGACATTGTTAGGAGGACGTAGAATCAACAATTCCAACGCGAAAAAGAGCACGGGGACTCCCACCGACGCCGACAACAACGCAATTCAATGGTTTGTTTATGGGCGACGGCGGGCTTCTTGCCCACCATCCACCGCGCATGCGCGGCGCCGGTGGCGTCCGCTAGGGGCGCTCCGGTTTGTTTGTAAACATGAGTTGGTGTATAAGGGCTGCATGTGACCCCCCCCCCCCCTTCCCGAGGTCACGTGACCGTTCCTCCTCCGAGGTCATGTGACCCCCCCCTCCCCCAGGGTCACCTGACCCCCCCCCCCCCCCCCCCGAGGTCACGTGACCCCCACCTCCCCGAGGTCACGTGACTACCCCCCCCCCCCCCCGAGACCCCCCCTTGAGGTCACATGACCCCCCCCAAGGTCACGTAAGTGACCTTGGGAGTGTGCTTTTGGAATATGTACCCGAGAGTGTGTGAAGCAGAGGCTTCACACACTCTCGGGTACATCAAAAGAAATCTGAAGGTGCCACCATCTCATCTCCAGAAAATGGCATATGAGACTTACGTTGGACCAAAGTTAGAATATGCAGCAGCAATTCGGAATGCTCATCAAATTTATCCCATTAACCATCTTGAGTCAGTTCAAAATCGCACAGCCAGGTTGATTCTTAATGATCATTACCGAAGAACTAATGTCTCTGCACTGAAATTCCAGCTGTATAAGTCGCGCCATAAGATATCATGCTTAACCCCCATTTCATAAAATTTTCTATTATAATCCAATGCTTCATAACTCACTCCTACTTCCTCCTAGAAGAGCATCGTTACGACTAAACCACCCCCCATATCACATATATCTCGGATCACAAACTACTTCAACCAATCAGAGAGGGAGAGAGAACAAACTTTTATTCTGAGCATTTCAACACGGTGGTCTGTGCCGGATGGAAGGGCTTCCCTCTTCACGAGGTCCTATATGCTGCCTTGTCTGCCTGGCCCCTGTTGACCAATTGAAGCTGATTCTCCAGGGCAGGGCTGGACAGCAAGTTCATCACTCTACAGGGGGAAGGGTGGGGGTAGTGGGTGGTCTTGATTGAATCTACACTCGCCCATTTTCTGACGGAGGGTTCCTATCTCTTGGCATACTGGGCAGTTCCCACTGTATTGAGTGGGGAACATATGCGACTGAGTAAAAGGGGGTGGGGGAAGGACCCTGACTGACTTTGCCTATACGCTACCTGTTCCTCCAGCGTTAACTTAGGATGCGGGGCTGGCAGTCTTCGCCTTTCCTTGCAGTAGAGTGCAACTACTATTTCCTTTTAGGTATGGGTTGGTCCTGCACCTCTTCCATGGCTGTGGCCCGGTAAGTCAGCGCGCAGGCCTGCTAGCTGGTGAGCAAGTTTATTGCCCTCTACCACGGAGTGGGCAGGTACCCATTCAAATTCTATGGGCTCCTTTGGGGGTCTATTGTTCTTGAGCACCTGAGGGCTTTTCAGGACACCGAGCCCGACTGGAAGCTCCGGAATGCTTGGTGTGAGTCGGTGATTACCCTGGTTCTGCCCGGCAATAGGCGACCCTGTCTTGTTCCGCAATGCTTCGATTACTCTTTTAGCTAGTGTATTTATGTACCAGTTTTATTTCACACACACTTGTTCTCACTGTTTATATTACTCACCAGCCCTGTCGGTGTAAGCCACCTGTCTGTTTATATGTTGATGTTTTGTATTTTTCATGTACTCCCCCCCCCCCCGCTCCTTATGTAATGCCCCTGTTGGGACCTTTGAAGTTACAATAATAATAATAATAATAATAATAATAATAAAAAAAAAAAAAAAAACTGCCAGCAACATTGGAAGAGTTTAGGAGCGGGGGTGGGGCCAACAAGTTTGAATTCCTGTGCCGACGCAACTTCACACATAACTTGAGCACAATATATCACATTTCCACTCGATCTGATCGGCATTAATTCCTAATCAGTTTTATTTTCATATGTTCAGGGACAATGCAAGCCAGTTTAAAATACTCTTCTTTTATAATATTACATTTCCGTACTTCTCAATGCAACATTTTCATGGCTGTTCCCCAGATCACGAGAGCCGCGCACAAGTAGCGATCCTCAGTTTGGGCATCTAGGACGTAGTACGTAGCTGTTGTGCGTCTCGTACACACTGCAAAATCTGCGTAAAACGATCCAAAACTTCTTTCAGCAAGCGCTGCGACCCAAGGGGGTATCGGAGGTCGAGCGTGTTAGCGCACCGCAACTCGTACGGCGAAAGGTCCCACTGCCAGGGATCCCCACCCCCACCCGATTCGATCTGTTGTGAGGCACAGACCCCAGGCTAGCAGTCGTACTGTAGTGGCTAAATTTTCTCACCTACAGCCTGAAACGGTGTCGCCAAAACCTAGACAGGCCGATCGCACGCTATTTAAAATAGTGAGCGTCTTATTTTCTTCCGCTGTGCCCAAAATGACGACAGGGCATGCGATTGAAAGACCAGCGGATAGGCGGGCTACCACTCTTGCCTTCGAATCGTTCGGGAGTCGGGCACCTGCATTTGCACCATGATTGAAGAAACAGAAAGAAGCGACGTCAAATCACATTGACACAGAATCACTCCAAGCTTCCTTGCTTGTGCCCTTCAGCTCTGTGCGCCGTCAGCCGTATCAACGGTAATCAAAATTAACAACGCCTGCCGCGCGCGTTCCGCTGCTCATACAAACAACAACAAACAATCAGGGTATTTTGCTGCAGAAAGTTGATTCCGCCAGTTTTAGCGAAATGCGGAGCTCAATCCCCGCTCAACCGACGTTATTCAAGGTATTGAATTTGGCGTAAGGATAGTGTGTTTGGGGTTCGCGAAAAAGACTACGGTATTGACTATGGCGTACGCCGAAACGACTACGGTATTGATTTTGGCGTACGCCATAACCACTACCGTAGTCGAAGCGGGGGGGTAGTGAGATCGGCGTCCTACACCGGCGCCGCACTTGCCGCACTGGCCGCGGGCCGCATTGGCCGCATGTCGGCGTATCGGCGTACTGGGCGCTGACTGGGCGTACTGCCGCACTGCCACCAACACCGCCCATCATCGCGAGGCGGCAGGTACGGCGGCACGAGGCGGTAAATTTTAGCAATTCAAGTTTCATTCGAAGAGTCGCTGCACATGGCCAATCACTGATCACTCTCGCGCACGCTTTTGACTGTGCCTTATGTGCTGCAAAAAGAAACGGGCTTCCGACCCAGTCTGTGGTAAGCCTCACTGTAGTGATGTTATCGGGTCTCTGACAACCATAGAGATACTGACAACAAAATAATATATGCGCCATATGCGCTTGACCTTTTTCAGAGTTCATTGAGGCGACCGTGGCGCACCCTCGTGGAGATAATTCAAAACGTTTGCGGGCTCAGTCCGTCCTCCCGTCACCACGTTCGCTTCCTAGACGCGATCGTTTTGGTGCGTTCGTTGTGGAGTTTTTCTCGCTGTTTTCGGGCTGTCGTTCTCTACAAATGGCTGATGACGATCCCGGAGGATCGAGTAAAGCAACCGTCTTTGACACTGCGGACTTTATCCGTCTGTACGCTTTTCAAGACGGATAGACTGCCGATGCTGCATCGGTACCGGTCGTCAACACAGCGTGCGTTGATCGGTACTTCGCAAAGGACTGCAGGCAACTCCGAAAACGATGGGCCTTCAAAGAAGAAGCCTAAGTCAAGGAGGTCATGGTGAATAACTTTGATGTCGACCACACCGTTCACCATGTAAGGAGCACGTGTGCACTGTCTATGAAGCCGGGACATTACAGGCAACTGATGTCGCTTTCCAAGAGCGCCGGTATCGTTCAAGCGTACTGCGACTGCGTTGCAGTGCGAGTTTATTTCTTCGGTAAAACCCGTGGCGATGTAATAATGTGTCTTAAGGATTACAAGATGTGTCAATATTTGTAAGGCGTGAGCCCCATAGTCGCTATCCTTTCGGCAGATTTGTATCAAGATCCGTGTGTGCCTGTCCTTTGATCATATTTTATGCGTGACGCGATAAGTTATCTAAAAAAACAAAACAAAAAACAAGATTTGTAGTCTTCGTCTTTTTTGTGGTACTTCAGCACGCTACTAAAAAGGGCCAAGCTACAAGCTATGTCATCGATCTACTTATCGAACTAGGTGACGTGTTGATATAAAATTCTGTAGTAGGACATTTTTTTATTCAATATTTTATTGAGTTTCAAGCGTAAATATATACTTTGCAGCTTGAGCGGAACATGCCAGCACATAGCTGGCCTGCTCTTTACACTATGCGACAGTGTAAAGATCTCTTTTCCGTGACAACGGCTTGGCGACCCGCCTCTTCGCTGCCCTGCTGTACCGTGCAAGCAAACTCGGTGCGGAGGCAGGTGTCGGCTTCTATGTAAACAAGGAGGGAGCGAAGTCTGGGTGATTCTGGTCTCGTGAAGATACCCCTGCGTCGTAAAAATCAGGAACAAAAACCCTTGCTATGAATGTCTAGCCTGCACGGAGTATGACGGGTATATCCTGAGTTCAAACAAATATGAATAAACTAACCTCTAATGAAGTGGACGCTGCAAACACGCGTGTTCGCAGATGGCTGCCAAGGCGTCCCGTCGGAGTTCTGGCGTCGCAGCGCTTGAATCCATTTTTCTCTCTTCTTGAGGTGCGCGGTAACTTTCGGGAATCTAAAAATGCTCACGTTCGGCGTGTTTTTCTTGCTGTTTGTACATCCAACAGCCGAGCAGCGGTAAGGCATCGCGACTGTGCCGGACAGACGCGCCTAGCAATGCGAGCGAAGCAGTGTTGCCAGATGGTCCCACCAAAAAACCGCCAAACGACTGGGAGGTATAGCCCAAATATAGCCAAAGCCGTAAAAAAAATATAACCCAAAATAGCCAAGACTAAAACAATAGATTTTAAGCCTTATATTGACAATTTCTCACGCTCATACAATACGTGTTACGATATCTGTTTCAATCCCCAGGTGCACCACCTTTTGTGTACATTATGTTACTTGTGAATTTTTCAAGAAAAGCTTCGGAAGGATGAATATCCGTACAAAACTGGCCCTTCCTTCGTAGGTTTTCAGAAGTACAAAACACACAAAGCAGCTTTATTGTGAAGCCCGGGAGATATGATCATACATTAAAAGAACAAAATACAGAAGCAGAACAGTCATAACACTGGGTGTTTCAAACCAGAACCCCAATATTTCAGGTCCTTACTAATATCCCCCATCTCTTTTTCTTTGTGAAGAATATTAGTGTCACCCATTCATGTTCACGATACTTCTGATTTTGTTGTCCTCTCTTGGGGTGAGAAACGACTGGAAGGTAGTCAACTGTTTAGCGGTAAAACTGCGGACGTCTCATTTTTACAAACCTGGGCACCTAAGGATTCTCACAATGGGCACCAAAGCAGCATTTGGAGAGTTCAGTCTACGTCCGGGCAGAGCCATATGCGTCCGGGTTGAAGGCGCGCTACCGGGCCTGTGGTAATAGTGCAATCCGTTTGGTTTGCTCCACTGCGCTGTAGGGAGACCGCTTGAACTCTGCTAGCATTGCTTCACTGCGTAATGCGAAAACCCTAAAGTTTGTAGAAGTTTGAAGCCTTTCTCCTTCCTCTCCCTCCTTTCGACTAGCCAAAAGAAACTTTTTTGTTTCCAGACTGATTTAAAGTTCGAAAATTAACTAACCGAACCTCAAAGTTCGGCGTCGATCCTGAGGTTCGACAAAAGTTCGCCGCATTCTTAAAAATAGCCCAAAATAGCCACATAGCCAACCTCGAAATTTTGACGCCAACTAGAAAAAAATGTAGCCCAATTTGGCTATAAATAGCCCAATCTGGCAACACTGGAGCGAAGCCAGGCAGCGTACGGGGAGAGCCCGCAAAGATGGCGCCTTTCCCTTTCCTACTCTCTCCTCAAGTTCGGGCATGCGCACAAAATTCTCCGAAAAAGGTCAGGTCAAGCTATGATTAGGCACAGAAAGACATCGCCCAGTGCCTGATTAGTACTGAGAAAGTTAGAAATTGATAAATGCTGTGGCAAATCTTGCCCCTTGCCATTCTTGTTTAGCTCTCGCTAGCAGAGACCATTTGAGGGGTGTCTAGTCACTAATTAGAGCCAACTTGTGTTATTCTGATTATTTTGGTTTACCAAACAAATCTTCACAAACCAAGGGAGACCAACTCCCATCTTGGCAAGAGAACAATATATGTGAAGTGATATATACAGCATGTACTAATGCTTCGAACTCGTTTTAAACGGTCAATTCGGTTTCTGAATGTATCGCGCTGTGATTTACTTCAGGGGTGTGTCTACCGTAAAATACCAGGAAAGCATCCACCCCACTTTCACTGAAAACTGGGTTAATTTAGATATGGGCGCCTGTTTGGTCAAATAGACGCTTAATGTATAATTTGTAGAATTCCGAAGTTTGAGGAATGTTAACACATAGCTTGCATGTGAAGTCATTCGCGGTCATGTCAGTATTTTATGCATTGTGAGCATTTGGTTCGCCTTGTGAGTTACACACCGCAGAAGTTGTAGTTCAAAGAAACCAATAGGTAAAATTAACCGTCAGTACCCAGCAATGACGACACTTGCAAGCCATGGCCCATGTATAGTGGGTGCTTCCGCGGCAAGTTTACAATAGGTGGTAAAACTTTAAGTGAATATACCAACAAATAAACTTACGTCGTTAAAAAAAATAAGAACTTGTTTCAGGCAATTTACGGTGGCACGGCATTCGCAGATGGTGCCATAACGGTGCTCGCCGACTTGTAGGTGCTACCGACAGACAGCACAACGTGAAGTATGAGAGCATGAAGGTAGAAAGAAGAGGAGGGCGACATACCGGCTCAAGCCAGCCAAACAAAAAATCCCATGCGAAGCCAGAAGTAGAGGTTGTGGTCGACGGGAACGCCCCCAAGCAAGCCCCCAACGCTGTCCTTTCCGTTCAGTAGCGTATTTTGGTTTTGTTTGTTTTTGGTCATCTTTGGGGGGCGTGTCCCTCCAAAACGGAAGTCTCCCCCAACTTCACCTCTGGGGGTGCCATGTCGCCTCCAGAAGCTTCCTACCTCCATCTCTCCATCCAAGAAATGAGGGGATCTGGGGGATTGACGTCATCAACACGTTTTTCTAAGTGGCCATTGCTCTTAATCCAGGTGTCCAGTTTCTTTTCAAATTCTTCTTGCTTACTTTGAATACTGGAAAGTTGTGTCATAACCCTGTTCATGCTAGCAGTTAGGCTCATAAGCATGGACTCCATATTTGTTATCTGTTCAGCCTTCATAGGGGGGCCTGGATTCAATTCGACATCACCCGCCAGTAATAACAACAATACTAAAAATACCAATTTTCTCCAAAACCTACGGTGCACATAAAAGCAATGATGCTTATAACGTGCTCCAGTTTGTGCACTGTGTTGGTCATATAGACCTCCCTTGCATGTCTTCCTTTACGAATCTGTCGTATGCATTTCAAAAAGCATCCACTCAGTACTAAGAAGGAATACCAGAGGCCATGCAGTTTTATTGACAAGGAGAGTTGCCAGAAGACTCAATGGCAGTGACTCCCGGCTCACATGACTGAGTGAGAGCCGAGAGGTTTCTCAATGATCGCACCTAATCTTCGCAACACTGTTTTTACTCATTTGGGCATTTACACTGGTTCTCTAATTATGTTGTGTGCTTAGATTTTGTGTTCAATGTTAGGGGCATCCAAGTTGTTCTACCTGAAAAGTGGCACGGTTCATCTCCAAGGTAATACGTTGTACTGCTAGCACCACAGAGAAGGAGCGAACAAAGACTTGACAGCTTAATCACCTATAACAACATATGTATGTTGCCTAAACAGAACTGAGACAAGTAAAATGTCTACTTTCCTCACAGTCAAGTATTAGGCAATCATGGCCTACAAAGCTATGACAAGAAGCCCTGGCCAAAACTGGCCACCCACCAGGTATAGTCCAAAAAACTTCTGTCATATGGCATTCTTGTCAAAATTTGTAGCTCTAAGTCTATGAGAGGCTATTCTAGCCTTTGTAACTTAGCAGGCCACCTGGACATCTGAATTTTTTTGCAACAAGCGAGTGTGCAAATTTACATTTATGAATATTTTTTTGTTGTAAGATGTGATGTTGTATGGAATATTCAGCAATTATCCATTGCTGGGTACACAATGAATGTTAGAAAAATAATGAATTGGGTGTTGGAAGTATCACACATAATGACCTTGTATGATTTGATTGAATAAAATGTACAGTTGGTTTTATTCACAGTTTTTCATGAGCTTAAAATCATGTACGAACACAAAAGCACATTTTAAGCATCGCAGCTATGCCAATCTACAAGACAGGTTTTCCTGAATGAATAATGCTCTCCTTGAAATGGATGTAATTGACATCAAAAATGCAGTTTGGATATACATGTATGTACAAATCCAAACATAGTAATATATACATCGAGGAGTAAAATAAATTAGACATTAATGTGGCCCTGATGATAGCCTGCTAGTAACCTTGAAAGCATATTTATAGCTCGTATCCATACTAAGTAAAGTATATACACAAAGTTACTTGTCCAACAGAACAAAAACACACATTCAGCAAGATGCTTTGAAAAAATAAATTATTACAGCAAATGTCACAAAAATATAGACATTCCCAGAGCATTTGCATCATGTAAGGTTATACTGAAATCTGAGAAAAAACAAGAAAACAAAGCAGTTGCATATGACACAAAAATTAATTGTTTGGGAGAACATGCATGGGCCCAATCCTTCCTTGAGTTTTAATAAAAAGAGTGCAGTGTCTAGCGTTACGTCCGACGAAACCCGAAATAAAAATTAAAGTTACGTCCGACGTAACTTTACGTAAGGATTCGAGTTACGTCCGACGTAACCCGATATGTAAATTAAAGTTACGTCCGATGGAACTCCAAATAAATATTAAAAAGTTGCGTCCGACATAACTTTACCCCAAGGTTTCGAGTTACGTCCGGCGGAATCCAATGTGAAAATTAATGTTACGTCCGACGGAACTTGAGATAAAAAATAAAGTTACCCCCCCCCCTCTGCCCGTTTCGACCTGGATGAGTTTCGTACTGGCGTAAGTCGTACCGGCGCACGTTCGTGTAATTACCACTGGTTAGCGGTTGTACGGTTGTACTGCACTGGCTAACTTTCTCATCTACAGCTTCTCAGGCTCGCAGCACGCGTGCTGCGGTTTCCATTTTTAATGGTTTTATTTTGCGTGTCACGTCAAGGAAGAATTAAGTGGTTTCATATCTAAAAACAAATCGAAATCTTCTTTTCTTCTTTTCTTTAATGGCATGTCTATTTTATAGACGCTCGTTAAAAAGGGCAATTGCCGCCAGAAATACATACATACATACATACAATCCTTTTAAAGAAGAAAAGAAATCACAAAAAAAAACGAGGAAAAAAAAAAAAAAAGCTTATGTAACGGGTATTGAACCCGCTGGGCCTTCGCAGCCTCTGCATACGGGGAACACACTCCAACCTCCTCAACAAACCTGGAGGTACGAATAGAGGCGCGATTTTGACCAATTTATCAACGCTGCATCGGACGTCATGCAGAAGTAATTATATATATTTTGATGTTTACGTCCTGTTTCGGCCACAAAGCGTGACATTCAATATGGTTCCAGGTTACACAAGCCGTAACTTATTTTCGGAGTACGTAACTCGAAACCTTCCGGTAAAGTTAAGTCGGACGTAACTTTAATTTTTATTTGGAGTTCCGTCGGACGGAAACTTTAATCTTCATATTGGGTTACGTCAGACGTAACTCAAAACCATGGCGTAAAGTTACGTCGGACGTAACTTTAATTTTTATTTCGGGTTCCGTCGGACGTAACGCTAGACACTGCGTAAAAAGAGAGACAGCGTCATGACCCCAAGGCAGAATCACCATCAAACTGTCAGTAATGGCCTTGCCAAGCTCGTAATTGGCTGGTAAACTTGTATTGCATGTAATCCACTTAAATTCAACCAAGCCAACCTAAAAATGATGACCTATCTAGAGGGACACTAAAGCGATTTTAAATCTTTATTTTCATAGCAATTTTCAAGCAAATATAGCAATCCATTCAATACTGATCAAATTCCAAGGCTACTAAATGATGCCTTCCTCACAAATTGATTAAACAAAAAATTAACAGACTGTTCTCTCCATTACATGGGTTGCATGTGACGTCATTCAAAGAGCGCTCCGATGACCACCAGAAAAGAGGGGAAGAGGGAGCTCCCCTCTTATCAGGATCCTCGTTTGTGCCTCCCGGATTTGCACAGATGTCGCTATTCTTCTCCCAGAAGATTATAGAAGATTAACCCATTACTCAAAATTCGTACAAAAGCAGCTTCCCTCTCCTCCTCCTACATGGTCTTCAAAAATATGCGATGTGACGTCGGTGCAACCCATCTATAGTACCTGGGGCGCATGGCAGACGGATACAAATTGCATCCAATTCTCCTGCCTGATGTCACCTGCACAGGCACCAGTTTTCAGCAGAAGCCTCAATTTCAATTGTTTTCGCTAGTTTTGCATGCTCTCTTTGTTTTTATTTTTTATGTTAGTGCACAAATGTAGAGAAGATAATTAGGTAGAATACTAGCTAGAAGCGAAAAATTGTGTTGTTAGGAGTGCACTTTTAAGAGCTCGTTAAAGAGCAATACCAAGTTGAATAGTCAGACTGCACCCAAAATTATAAGGAAAATATTTTGCAATGTACAGTTAATGTACAGTTAAATGTACAGTACAGCAATGTATAGTTAAGTAATTTATTAGAAGTTTCTTCCAGAAACTGCAGTGAACAGCAAGGTAAACAGTAAGCAATGGGGTGTGCTGGCATTAAGTTAACTGCCCTCTGCCCCCTTGTTTGTTTGAACTGAGGTACATTGCACGACACAGTTAGCGCAAGCACGATATTGGCACTTCTTCGCATTTTACTTTGAAGAAGTATTGGTGGGCATCAAATTTTACCGCTTAGGTTAGTGCCCCAAGTGAAAACTTTCTACCATTCCAGTAGTTCTTGCGATGGCCCTCCAAATTGAGATAAACAGCAAAAAACGGCAATCACTTGTTTGCACTAACATTGTCATGTTGTGTGCATGGTGCTCCATGCAAGTAAATACAGTGGTAGACTGCATCACTTATTTGATACCAGGCAAGCCAAATTTCTGCTTGCAGAAATATATATGTAATATGTCTGCACTGGACCAAAAATGTGCATTGTAATAAAATGGACCTCAAGAATCGGTGACTCGACGTAGCAAGCTGAAATTTCTCTCATATAGGTATTTTACTGTTGCATGTTGAACTCCAGCCATCTCTCATATGCCTCCAAAAAATGTAGCTATAAGTGGTGGAAGTGTCGAATTTTGTTGCCATATTTATTCAAATATAGGCACTTTTTGTTTCGCTATTTCTTAAAATTAGGGATTGATTTTTCTCGCAACCAATGGATGTTGTGATCTATAAGAGTGGGCAAAAGTTTAGAGTCAATCGAGTCATCCCAAATTCTCCCTGAAGCTCAACTTGCACCATTGCACAACAGTGGAGATTGATGCGCGGCGAAGATGGAAAGATGAACGGGCTACTGCAGAAATACCGCATTTGCTATGTCGACTGGTAGTTCTTGGAAGCAGCGGCATTCTTGATTGTGTCAACAGTGAATGTTTCATTGAATTTCTACGACACAGAAACGGTCTGTTCTGTTCTGTTACATTTTAGATCATGTTCTCAAGTTTTATCTTTTAGACACAGTGTGAGTTGATGTCTGAAAATTGAGTATGACAAATGGAGAACTGCAGTACATCTACAGCAGAAATTCCTGCTTGCTAGATCTGGTCACTTATTCTTGTTACCCATTACGTGTTGTAAATTTTATTTTTAGACACTAGTTTTAATTTTGAACAAATTTACTAAACAATCTTTACACCTTAGCTCGTTAACAAAATTGTTCAGCATCCCAAACGTTAGGGCAAGCAAAGGTCATACATGACCGCAAAACTCGCCACTGATAAAAGGAACTGTGTACTGCAGTTCATACTGCAAGTCACTGTGCCACTTGTGTATATGAAACTCAAATTGTTTGAGTCCCCTTGTAGTGCCATTCATGCTTCAGTCTGTTTGCGGCAATTTGATAAGGAATGAAGCTGGCAAACTGAGGATAAAGCCTCACAAGCATTCTCTTCTTACATATATATACCTATAGCACAATATCAGAACCTTATGGTTGGTGTCATTTAATATGCAACAATGCACGGTAGGTCGGCACCAAATATACTAGAAACTACTAAATACCGTAAATACTGACACTACTCTAAATAGAAATAAGCTACAACATGTACAAGTAATCCCCTATTAAAAAAGAGAAGAAAAAAAAAAGCCTTTTCTGGAAAAAATTGTGAAAGCTGTATGTTGAAACAAATAAGTGCCCAAGCACACATTACCAACCATTTGCATTTTTTACAGCCAGAATGGCTGATTCGCTCGTTCTAGAGAAATGGTTGCTGTTATCCCTTGTTTTTCGGAAAAGAAGTGATGTACAAGTTTCGTGGCTTGTTTCTTTTTTTTTTTTTTTGCGGGAACTGAATGGAATGTGCATACATGCATGCAAAGACTGCAATGTAATCATTGGCCTAATTTGAGCTGGGGAGCTAATACTGTTACCAAGAGACATCTATCTCCTAAATCTTTGCCAGATATAAACATATACACAAATTCAACAAGGAAATGATGACAGCAAATTACAAATTCTCAAGTGAAGGACCCTGCAAGCTCACCCGGTAAAAATACCTCACAAGGCATAAATGGGGCACAAAATGGCCAGTGGATGTTGTAGATCCACAGGCACGCCCACTGACCAAAACGAGGAGCAGAGATGGGACAATACAAAAACTTCCTGAAACGTTGGAGTTGCCCATGATACCAATACTAAGCGTTCTGCTTTGTTCGGTAGAGACACAATGTTAATATACACAACAGACAGAAAAGGGAAATATATAGTATATATAATACATATATGTATATATATATACTAATTGTACCTACACTGCATGTTTGGTTATATTAAAGTGACATTGGATGTCAGATGAAAGTTGTGATGGTATGGTGATGAGAGTTGTACTTTCCATAACATTCAAGAGTTGCAAGGACTCGGAAAAAAACACTCTCTCTGCTCAGTCACATTCACTCTAAGAAAGAAAGTTCCCTGTAGCTTTGTTGTACTAGTTACAAGACCATGCTAAAACCTTGGCTGGATTGTTAATGGTGAACAGTCAAGAGCAGCTAACAAAGTTTTCTATCTTTGTCTAAACCGGCTATGAAGAAAGCTTGAATGCTTGGTTGACTGAGCATTTGTACTGTAGATAACTGCAGCTCACAGAGCTGTTCTTAGTGCAAGGTCCTGCATGTTGCATCATGGGACTGACTTGCTGTAAGTGAACTGAAGGACAAAATCCTGATGTCTCCATGCACTTTGCACACATCACAGACTTTGTACAACACCATGACCTTCCTAAAGTGGCACTTCAGCACTCTTTAAAATTATGACACCAGACAATTGAGACCATATCTACAGAACAAAATCAGTAAAACAAAAGAAAAATAATTAAGCAATATGATCAGTTTCATATAAAACCAACTCTTTGAAATAACTTAGGATATCTCGACTTATCACGGTCCTGGTGAGAGGACAGCAACTTCAGTGTACACAGTCAAAAGAAATTGACTGAATAGAACCCGACTGAAACCAACGTTGCAAACATTGGACAAGCTTGCCCGCTGAAAGGCCGACGTGCCACACTGACTTTCTGCAAGAAACTGTGCTTAGATTCCTCCTCCCCAAAATGGCAAAGGTTTTGAAAGAGGGAAGAAAGAAATCAGCAGAAGAAGAAGGAACTAAGAGAGGAGAGAAGGAATGGTCGGAGAGGAGCAAGTGAGCAAAAGTGGAAAGCGGGAGGTGACATCGGGCCTTTCAGCAATACACGCTTCCAAGGGTCTTTCTTTTTTCACGCTGCAGAAATCATACACCCATATCACAGAGTATTACTACTGTGTATGCTCCTGCAACCTAACAATTTTCCCAAGACGACGGGAGAATTGACTCGTACCCAGAAAAAAAAAGTAATAAAAGTTCCAGCCATAGCATGGTGCGTCACCAAGCATGGCGAAGGAAACGTGCCATTTCGCCCTGTCTGTTTGCACTGGCCTGAGCCTACTATACTCGTAGACAAATTTCTGTTGCACTTCAGAAGTGAAGATTGCACATGTGCCACTTCAATGGGCACTTAAAGCACAACTCCGGTCACAAACAAAACCAAAGTAAATGAGTGGTATCACTTTAGTGTCACGAAATATGATCACAGCCGAAATATTACGTCGAAGTTAAGCTGCATGCTCCACGAAAACCAATTTCAGAGATGCGACCAGGTGCTCTTTAGCGGGCGACAAGCTGGTTAGCTTTTAGTCAAGGAACACTGGCGCAGCACCCCTGTGACGTCGCGTCGCGGTGAAGCTGCAGCTAAATTGGTTGTACCACAGCACCCTTGTGACGTCACGTCGCGGGCATACGACTGATGATCAGTGCTGCCATCCCTCTAGCAGACAGTTTCGGTTTTGCCGCAGACTCCCGAAACCAAATTTTGAGCCATGATATTTATAAAACTAAACACAATATCGAGAAAAAAAAAATCGTACCTCGTGATTCAGGGACACTGCCTTAGCTGAAAACAGTCGTAATTCCAAATTAAAAAAAATATCTACCAGAGTTTCCCTTTAAGATGTATAAGTGCACATGCGCCATAGCTGTTACTGCATAACTACAGAAAGTTGTCTGGGGGTATAGTGGACGAATACCAAGATCAGAGCTCCAATGCTGAAGTGCATAAAATCACGTCGAAAATATTCATTTCAACCGACAAATGACATCAACTGGTTGAGAATGTCGGCAGAACACTTGCCCGAATTAAAGGTTCATGCAACCGACAGAAGGTGGAAATTTCTGCTGACGCAATTCGTACACATATCCGAGAGATATACTGCATTTACCGGAGTAGTCGACACGCGGTTAATGAACAATGCCTGTGGATTCATCTTTCCATGGAGCATGCAGATACCTAGCCAGTTATATATCGATCGACAGAAAGAGCCCAGTGATATACGGGACAGGGATAACAAACCCATGCAAAGACTCTATCTGGACAGGTTGCATTTTCCAAGAAGGATCATTTTCCTAATGTCGTTATTGCTACATTGCTTATGTAGAATCGATAATTGGCTGTGTGTAAGCTCTGTGAAAAAGTTAATGCACAGGCCTCGTTCATTAATAATAGTGTGTCAAATACTCTAATTGCATCGCATTACTATTTATTCATAAAAATCTTTTCACGGCTCTTGTTCCTTACAGTAGTACTTTTAGTGCACGCTCCTAATAAATGCCTAGAACACTGGCAGAGACATCTGAAATGTTTGTGAAAAAAGTGGATTCAGAAGAGCAAAACTAGTCGGTGTATATACCTATGTACCCATATAAAAGCAGTGAAAACCCCCAAGTATGCACAAACAAGCATAATATTTTTGCTTCAGTCAATGTAGGAAGGCGAAAGTCTCGTTAAAATGTCTATTTAGCTTGCATTTTGTAGACTACTGGTTTGAAAGTGGGGATCACAGTTTGCCTCTACAGTGGAGGCCTATTAGTGTGGAGGGACATACCGTGATGCCCACTTTTAAAGTAGTGTCGTGACCGTCCCTCTAGTACTCGTATATGTTACGACTATTTTATGCAAGGACCAAATGTAGGCATATAGGCAGAGAGCAATCATTCACTTTCTCAAGAAAGTCTTATACTCCTCGAAGTTTCTTCGACACCCCCATCACGCAACATGTTTTAGTCACTGGCTTCAGCATGTGGCGTGTGGTTAGGCCCAGGCCCGAAGCCAAGTCCCCGTTGATGCAATGAATGGAACAAAATAGGAGCCAAAATGCTGATGCAGCACTCTCCAATACGTGCTGGGAGCACGCCTGAGATATGGCGGCCACGGATAATTACAGCATCAGCTGACAAGTTGGGGGCCCAGCAGATGCTCCGCCTCCAACGTCTGTTCGTTGCCTTCCGTCAAGCTTTGGCTGCACGTGCGACAAAAGCATTGTCAAAGGCAGAAATCTTGCGCTCGAGGAGGAGCATCTGCTGGATTTTTAGCCTGTCACCGACCGTAGATGGTGCAGATTTTAGTAAAGGGTCTTTTGATGGAGAACCAGACCAAAGTACTCCCGGTACAATGCCTTTCAGCACTGGAGCTACCGAACATTGGTTTGGGCATTCTCTCGGACAACAAGATGTGAACACACGCGGGTGTATGCACCCAACACAGTTTGCAGCGTGATCGAGTCTTGCCTTATTAAAAATAGAAGTTTCTCCAGCAGACAGTGAGCTGCACTGCCGCATCTGGCACACCCTGCAGTTCCCGTAGCGGCTTGGCGAGGGTCCCGGTAGCTCCTTCCACTCATTTGTGTTTGCCCGCAAATTCGTGGAGGATGTCCCTCGCCATCTGGAGGTCGTTGCGAGCGATTCCGAGCGCCCGAAGGACCGCGTCCTGGGTGTAGCCCTCAGAAGTGAGCTCCGATATGTAGTCCATGTGAAGGTTCTCGTAGCTCACCCTGTCGTTCTCTTTGTTCTCAAGTGCGCTTGTTACCAGCGGTCTTAGCGTCCGCAGCCTACAAAGAGATGGGGTACACGACTTCCGCCATTAGAAGGGAATAACTAGTTGTGCTAGCAAAGGTTGCACACTGTACAACAAAAAAAGAGAAAAAAACAACAATGAGAACACAGGTGAACAACATAGTCCGAATGCAGACTGTGCGTAAGTGCTGCAAAACCCTTGATATTTGCAAGTCCACTTTTCACAAATTTTGCAAATTGGAAAAATTATTAACTTCAGAAGCTCACGAATATGTATTCCTATTCTCTAAAAAGGCTAATCCCAGCCTATACAATTCGGAAAATTTAATGGCCACGATTATGATCCCCCTGCCTAATTTGTAAAACATTGGAATCATGAAAATAAAGGATTTTACTGTATCTATAGCTTTTTCTCCTTGTCTAGGCTGAAGTTTTGTAGAACATAAATAAAAGAAAAAAGAAGGTACTTCAATCCCATGTTAATCAGTCTGTTTTTCTCAAAATCCACCTAAAAAAATTTAACCTCTGCATTTAGCAAAGTAAAAGTAAAAAGGGGGCTTGAGTACCCTGACAGTTAAGTTCATCTACTAATGCACACTATGCTGTAACATTCTCCAATGATGTCAATAAAAAAATTTAATGTGTAACCTCGTTAAATTACTGGGGCCGTACTGCTCTGTCCAGCTTCTGGCACATACCACATTTACCTGAAAAAAGGTTAATTATGAAAATTCCTGCTGATTTACTTCCCCTCAAAACATGTAAAAAATCAATCATTTACCGTAAATAAAAAAAAAAAAGATTAATATTATTAGCAATATATTATTCTGAGCTTATGAACATCATGATCAGTAGCCCAGAGCACGTCACTCTTTTGGTTACTATGCTACTCCTGCTCTGTCATTTGGGGGTTCCTTCATTGAGTCACAATGATTGGTCTCTGCTCAGCAGAAAAGTAGATGCGTGACCACTTTTCATAAAAACGAGTGAAGCTAAACAAGTGTTGAGTGCTGAACCCCCCAGCTGAACTGCGGGTTGGTGGTTCCAACAAATCCTACAATACATAGAATATATTCTGCCTGAGGACACACGTGCGGCATCCTGGAAGTCTTTCCCATAAAGGGTTTTGGGCGTTCCTTGCTGTGCGGGCTTACCGCCTATTAATTTTGGTAGGTGAACATACATTTTGTCATCATACTTTTGTGCAAGGTGGCAAGGGAGTGAGCAAAGAACATATTCTACATTCTAAAAAGTCAACCTAAAAAGTCAAAATACAAACACACTCGTGTTTACAATCATGCAATATACGGTATGTATGTGCTCAGAATAAGCTCAAGGGAGGTCTAAAGAAAATTCTGCACGCGACTGTTCATTTTTGTTGTTAGAACTGCTGATCCCACATATTTTTGTTATCGCGCACAATCCATAGCTTTCACAAAACATTGAATGTTGATTGGACCTGTGGGTCGATTAAAAAAGTTAACCCATATGATCGCCACTTTTTAATAGACAAATCAATCGATGCACCCGTTAGAGTTTTCTCAAGTCATATTGCATGAAAGACGCCAAAACTTCACATTTTTTTTACTATTTTCACTATGTCATAAATTACAATTACATAAAATAATTACAGTCTCATATTAAACTTTACGTTGTGACGCCCACCGAAATATGAACACGAGAAGCCTTTTAAAGTGGAGTAATTTTTAAGTTAATATTTAAATAGTATAATCCCCCTCAATGACAATCACAAACAGGCTGAAGTAGTTTACCGTGCAAGCCTGTGTCCTAAAGAAATAAAGATGCCAGAAATATTAAAGCAGACATTTTTTCCCTTCTTTTTTTTCTCCCGACTTTCCGATTAATTGGCAAGAAAACTATCGCAACTAAAATGTCACTTGAATAATTTGAAAGTTAATCAATGGAACTGCCCAGTCCCGATATGCGTTAGGTTAGGGCAGAGCGTCATCGAAAAGTTTAGTGAGAGTGGCTAACCCTCATCAATAAAATAGTGTCTCTGCGGCCGATGCGGCCTGTGTCATGGTGCGGATCGTTTGTTGGAGTCAGAGAGTCTACTATGGTTGAATGAAGATTATTTAGCCTGAAAAGTATAATATTACTGTCTTGACATCCGTGGCCTTCCCCGAGAAAATTGAAGCAGCTGAACCCACGCTACCGAGATAGAGCATCTAATAACACGCATGCTGCTGCACTGCTCGGTTAGACTTATTTATTCCACTCGCAGCAGATGTACTACAACAGTTTGTTTCACTTGTTTCGGTTGTCCTGCCAACGTGCAGTTTGCGGATAATAACTAGAAGAGGCACTCTCTCATCGTTCCAACGTAGTAGAATTGTTCAGACTCCAAAAACACTTACGCACACCATGGCACAGTAAAGGGAAAGATTTGTTTCAGTGGAACTCAATAGCATGGTAATTTCCAATACAGCACTTAGTTCTCTGAATGCAAAATATTTATATTAGTACTGCAAAAACTAAAAGTTACGAAAAAAAAGAAATGCATAGAACTTGTGATTTTACAACCCACAGTGCCAGTATTTTGTATGTATCCAGATTGGAATGCCTTGTTTTGTTGAATTTTCTTGCGGGTGAACCGATGTATCTTTTTTAAAAGAAACAAATATTTAAGAGAAATAGTGCAGTTCACCCAGAAATCCATGCCTCCTAACATCTGCCTAGAACAGACGAAACATCCACACAAGCGATTATTTAAATTTAGGCTGTACGCTGATAACACAACTCGATCTTCACTGAAGCACCGAACAGTACCGCAACATTTTCCGCTGAAATTGTTTTCCCACTGGTACTATGCGACAAAATAAACTCAAGAATCTACACTGTTTAGCATGCGAACGTGGAGAACCTACGGAACGGCAATGCTTCTATCCTCGCTTTGATGATGATGGTAGTGCAACGGAACTGCTGCATCTAGGTCAATCTCGAGGCCAATAGGAACCAAAGAAAGTGAGACGAAACAGCACCTTTTTTCTATCTTCTGACTGTTCATCAGTGACCCATTTGTTGTGGAGGGTAGCGATGAACATGGCAGAGACTCTTGGGAGCTTGAGTCTGGTTGCTGGGGAACAGGAACTGTAACTAGGGGGGGGGGGGGGAGGGGAGGGGAGAAAGGGTGTATATGTCAGTTCTCTATGCCACTGCTTTTCCAAAGTACAGCAGTGCATTAAGACAGGCCTTTCCTCCAAGCGATTTCAGCCAGAGCCCTGTGCACAGCGGCAAGAAGTGAGGTTCAGTGAATTCTGACATTCACAGAACATGAATGCATACTTGTTTTACAGCAATGACTGTTTTAGAAACTTTTCAGCTGCATTTGCGGCATCAGCGTTGCACTAGACAGAAAACTGTGGTGTCGTCAAATCACGTGACAACACATGGTTTTGCTTACATGCCCGGAAAAGCCCGTTAATAAAATTCACACTTCATTTTTCTTACAAGTACCAACAGCCATTGCTATGCAGCTGCAAAAGGCCGGCGCCGGCCTCTGGATGTTAATAAATGCAGCACAAAAGGAAGACTGCATGACAAGAACACAACAAGCACTCTCAATCCGAAGAACGCTGCTGAGGCTACAGTCATCAAAAGGAACAGTTTGGGACTTATTACCTTCCCCATTAAACCGTTACATAAATGAGACACATCAGACCATATCAGTTCTCCTTCAGAATTCAACGTAAGCACATGGGGCGGCCCCGCAAAGTCGGGACAGCCTCCGAAGAGGGGGGATATAAGGCTCGCCATGTCAAAGCAGAGCATGGACACCTGCGCTCACTGAGCTATTGCTGTCACTTGTCTTCATACTGTGGCGAAAAGCTCAGAATATTTTCTGGTGACACGTTTTCAGCAGTATATCCCCACTGTGTCAGATGCTATGTAATCAGGGTAGGGGGATCTCTATAAAGGTGGAGGGGGGAAGGGAGGGAGAGGAAAGAGAGAGAGAGGAGGGGGAGAGGAGAGAAGTTTCGACCTTAAACCCCCCCTGCCTATGCCACTGTTCTGCATTTCTACTACCCTACCATAAAGAAGATCTGCCAGACTATTTCAGAAGAAACAGCAATAAAGCCTACCATGACCAAGGCTAAGCTCCGTGTTGGCATAGCTGGGCTCTTCAAACAGTTCTGCCAGCTCGGCGTAGTGCACGGCAGAGCAGGGAAGAGGTGAGGGTGCCCTGGGGGGGAGGCTGCTGCTTCCTGGCCACGTCCCGTTGGAGTTAGGGGGCGAAGGTGCCAGGGTCACGATGGTCGGAGGAAAAGACTGCGACGGCCTGGGCATCAGGCCGGAGCAGGAGCCGAGGCTCGAGCCAGAGCTGGAGCCGGAGCTAGAGACGGAGCTGCAGCCGGAGCCCCTAACAAAGAGGCCTCCCTCCTGCTGCACTTCGGAGTAGGTGACGCTCGTTCCTGCGGGTGGGACATTTGGCCTCTGTAGTGGGCGCAATTTCCACCAAGGCGGGAATATTGCCCGAATTTGACGGCTCAAGGATTGCTGCGGCCATGTGAAAAACAAAACGTTAAAATCCTGTCTCAATCGGTTTCATAACCAGCGAGCCTTTTCGTTATCTTGTTGCTTCAGTAGTACCATTGACTACTGCGTATCCACCACACATTAAGCGCTTATTCCCGAATTTGTAAGATCTGAGAATATATTCTATGTGTTGCATTTTGAGTGGGCGCTTGCCCGGTATTTTCCGGTACTACTATTCTTTGAAAAATTGTGCTGTCACATTTTGTTTTTATCTTCACTCATTCCTATTATTATCATGTGTATGTTTTAAAAAGGGCATTAACTATGCAATAAAATGCTAACGTTGTATTTTAATGCTAACGTTGTATTTTGTTAACGCTGTATTTTCGATCGTAAGAATTTTCTACCCACATAATAAAAGCATTTGAATGTGACATGGCTGTGGCAAGACACTTTGTGACCCGCTCATTTGATCCAAAGTTGGAAGCGGAAGTTACCGGAATTTTCTGGTGAGCTTTGTGGAGTACTTGATGTCCTTGATGCAGCACCTCCATTGATGTATTCATCAGTGCCTGGCCTGAATAAAATATGGTGCCTGCAAAGAAAAGAAAAATGCAAAGATTATATTGCTGCGAGTAGAATCAAAGAGCTGAAAAACAAATTGTAACGAGCCTCATCAAGCGACATTCTACAGGGTGTCACAAATGAAAATTTACACGGTCTTTTTTACCGCAAAAATAAACTAGGCATCGCCGAACGCTCATTTTCCGCCCAAAGGTAGAGCTAGAGGTCACAACCAGATGCCGAAGTTTCAGCCCGATCCGATAACTTAATCAAAAGTTATAAGTGATTTTCTGAAAATTTCAATGGGAAAATGGACACCATTTTCGCTCGTTTTCGGTTTCTGGTGCCATAGAGCCCCATGTGTTTGAAAACTCCGTCGGCCGCCATTTTCCCATTGAATTTTTCAGAAAATCATTTATAACTTTTGATTTAATTATCGGATCGGGTTGAAACTTTGGCATCTGGTTGTGACCTCCAGCTCTACATTTGGGCGGAGAATGAGCGTTCGGCGATGCCTAGTTTATTTTTGCGGTAAAAAAGACTGTGTAAATTTTCTTTTGTGACACCCTGTAGTTTAGCTGCTAAACAAAGCAGGTTTGTTTGCAAGGTTGTACACATAAGTATGATCACTAAATCCAACTAAAAAGTGAGAATTAACTATTTATAACAGATTGTACACCAAGGAAAGATTATTTGGTCCTCTGAAAGTCATGTAGTGTTCTACTGTGTGGTAAATTTGGAAAGATATGTTTCTGATCATGTATTTAATAGAGCAAATTTTTATCTTTGTGCTTCTCTACACATCGTTTTTATCTCTTCCTGCATATGCTGCAGACTTCTAGGGCATTCAGAAATATGTTTGGGCAGCATTACAGGTGAATGTTTTCGGCATCACAGACTGTCCTGTGCTTTGGATTAAGTGAAAAACTTAATACTTTCTCCGTGCCATATAGCATCCATCAGGTGGTAACTTTTACATATTTAGCATATTTGACAGTCTTCAGAAAATTGAGCAACTTTCACTGAAGATAATAATAATAATAACTTTGAATGGTAGTTCAACTTTAAGATAACATTCAAGTTGACCTAAACTATAGGACAACTTTTTTAAGTTCACCTAGAGTTTGAAAGTAGGATGGAAAGAAACCTACAAACATTTGAAATATTCCTATACTACAGTCAAACCCGTTTATCACGAACAGCAGAAAACGCCACGATCAGTTTGATACAGCAAGTAGTTTGATATAGCAAAAAACATTTACATGAACTTCCACGATGACTTCGTTGTAAGGTAGAGAGCTTCTCTTTCTTTCTCATCTCTTCACTTCCGCCTTGTAACAACTCGGCAAATCTTTTTTTATTTTCTTTTTTTGCATGCGTGCAGAGTTTTTTTTTTGTTTTTTTTATCTTATCTTCCTTTCTGAATTGCTTCTCTTAGAGGGTAAACGTTTTGGGATGAAACATTTTTTTTTTCTGTGCGTGCGTGCAGAGTATCTTTTTTAGCTTTCTCCCCCTTCTGAATCACTTCTCTTCGCTCAATTTTGTGTGCAACTTGAGCTTTTGGAATTTTCTTTCTTTCCTACTTCTTTTTTTACGGGAAGGGACAGGCTAGAAGGCGATTGCTAACGCGTTTTCGGAAGTCTTCCCAGGAGGAAAAGTTCGATATAGTCAATATCTTGTTCGTTATTAAACATACTTTTTACATGCATTTTTATTTAAAATCTCTGTGAGTTTGATATACACAATAATTCGCTGTATGTGGGTTCGTTCTAAACGGGTTTCACTGTATGTTTCATTCATAGTGTATACTACGGTGTCAAAGCAACTGGCGCAAGCACATTACTTATCTAGCATCTTGTTTGCCTGCATGTCTCGTACAAAGGCAACACTAGACATAGCTATGCGCTCACACCAGCATGCTTTGACAGTGTTACACACTATAGTACGAAACAGAGTAGTCACCCTACCCAAAACACTCACTTCTAGAACGGTTAACTATGTGCCTTTATGCCGGGGCATTTTTGTCGCACTGTTCTTGTGAAGCTTCAGTACTATGCACAAGCGCTCTTGCATCAGGCTTCACCGCTTTGCACCAACCTGCTTGGAAAAACGGCTGAGCATCTCGGTTAGCTCGATGGGCTTGGATATTGCGCTCACTATTAATAGGTCAACCTTCTCTGGTTAGAACCATAGGTATCGCTATGGTACTTGCAATTAATGCATGGTCAACTAGAGCACCTGTTACATTTAAAGAATGCAGCAGCTAACATTTGCTAGATAGATAATACTTGTGCCCTTCTCTACCTCCAAACTGTCCTAAGCCCCAGGTTTAGTCAGTCGAAGAGACCCACCTAGGTGATGTGCCTGGTGACTGTCCGGGTGTGGTCGTGGGTGATGCCCTTCTGGGTGGCACAGGGGGCGGTGCAGCAATGGCTATTCGACGAGTTACCATTGGTGATGAATGTGGGGACACAAGTGGTGATCGGCTGCAAGACTGTAAAAGGGTCGCAGATTAATGGAAAAAATAGTTTGAAGGTTGGGCAAATTATTTAGTATGCCTGTCTGTCCTTTTTTTTATCCACCTATCATTTTGATGTTTGTAGGTGCTGCAAATGTTATACGAGGCAACAAGAAATTTAAACTTAGTTCATTATGATTTAGAAGATACCTCCAGTGCCAATAGCTCTGATTTCTAGGCATGATGTAGCTCTACCCTAAATTTACATTGAAAGCAAATGTGGAAGCTTATGAAGAGCAGTTGTCTTTATTTGATATTATAATACAGTAAATAATTTTACTTATACATGCTCAACAGCTTGAAAAATCTGCTTTTGCAGGATCCTTAAACGTATTTTATAGATACTAAATTTCCTGAAAGTATATAATCACATGTTCTGGAATTATGGCTTGAAAACATAATTCTGATGAAAAAAACTAAACACAGGTTTATATAGCAATGCGACTGTCTAGAACAGGGGTCTCCGAACCCCGGTTCGCAGCTGGCCGCGGCCTTCCCAAGGAAACCCAGCCCGCGGCCCACATCAGCAGACCCGCTGCTAGCAACGCAAAAAGAAGCGTGTGTGAAGAAACGGTGCCACGACGCGCTCTAAATGTGCAGACTAAGATACCGGAAAGAACGAGAGAAACTGCATTGTGACACGAGTCCTCTCTCCATATTATTAATTGAACATTGTCATCAGTAGCATTACTACTCTTAGTCCTCTCCTTCATGTGTAACTATGATAAATTCCATTGCATTCTCATGTACATTGCACTTAGTGTCCTCTGTTACAATCATTGCATATTGTCAGCATTATTTTTATCATTCTCATTAGTCTTTTGCACTGTGTGAATATACGAAAGCTCCCATGCACTCTTAACTTGTAAGTTTTCTTGGTCACAAGTGTTGTGTAATTAGCTATATATTAACTAGTTTTGAAGTATGTATTCATCCACCTTAGGATTTTTATTTAATACTTACACATTTCTGTGTTCAAATGCTTATCTAGGTTTATTTACTTAATTTTTCTTAATCTTTAATTACTCTTTTTCTTTTTTCCGCCCCTCGAGAGTGCAACAAATCGCTAATAGCCAGAAAGTTTGAAAACCTCTGGTCTAGAATATACAGAAACTAAAAATAAACCTAGAGAAAGTGACCTGACAGGGAAATTAAATTTTATACTTAAATTTATATTTAAAAGTATTTTGTTCTGACATGTCATCTTGTGACAGCTACCATCAGTGACATTGATACTATAATTTAGCAAATGCAGCTACTTTGGCCTTCATTTGGCATTTTGTGAGCCAAAGCATGGCACAGGCTTAAAACATCGCTGAGCTCTATCTTCTGCACTGTTAGTGCAAACACGATATTGACACTTTTTTGCGTTTTACTTTTAAAAGGTATTGGCATACACCAAATTTTACTGCTTAGGTTAATGCTCCTAGTAGTTCTGATACGAGCCCTTCAATTCTGAAAGAAAAACAAAACAAAACAGTGATTGCTTGTTTGCAATAACAATGTCAGATTCTCTTGTTCAAGATTATTGCCTGGGTTACAATTGCCTAAGGCTGAGAGCAACATGCAGAAATCAACAGTTGCTCATCATTATTAGTGACTGTGCAGCGCTCAGTTGTTTCCTTCTCTCTTGTTAAAGGTTCAACAGTCCTGTTCTCTTCACTACACAACACTGCATCTAACTTGGAATATAGACTCGAGAGATTAAATTTTTATGGTACCATACACTGAGTCTCTGAAAGCACAAATGCTTGTTCAAAATATCACATTTTTTTTCTGACTGAAGCAGCTGTCATTGTTTCCGTGTCACAAAGTGTTAACAACATGAATGACATCTACAAGGTACAAAAGACCATAGTTACCCTGCTTCCATCAGCAGTTTCACTTCGTGGTGAGAGGGCTAATGCTTGTAAAGATGAAGTCCAGGTGTTTGGATCCTAAAATCAAAGTTAAATGAAACTGTACTAACTCCAAAGTTTGACGAGCACCAACTTGGATGACGACCAAAGTAATGCTGTATTTTACAACAAAAATCATTATGCACACTTATGAAATACATAATTAACGCCACTTCAACAGTTGACTGTCCATGCTTTCGGAGCTGTGTCATTTATGTTCTTAGTTCAGACAAAGTCTAGGAATTATCCATGTTGAATTAACCTGAGAATGGGGTAAAGAAGAAGCAACGAAACGTAAAAGGGACATAAAAAAAAATCGTTCAGCCTTTCCACTCTCGTGAAGAAGGAAGACCAGCGGAGCTGCACTAAATACACTGTGTGCTTCTTCGTCGTCATCTGTTTTTCGCACTGTTTCCTACGATGAATTCCCACCAATGACCGCCCAACTATCCATTCTTCTATTATAACTGGAAAGGTTGCCGCCATCTCTGAGCGACGATGGAAACCATACTGGTTGTGTGCTTGCCGCCGTCGCTTATAGATGGCGGTAGCTGTCCAGGCAGGTTTGTGTCGACATACCGGACACGATCCTGGGGAACCTAGCCCTTAACAGCTCCGCTGTAAAAGACAGGCCAATGTCTCACACTTGGCCAACTCGTTTATTTAGTCCACCTCCTTATATAGTCTCAATCTCAAGGTCATCTCCACCACCAACGTTTTGATGTTTCTTCTCTAACTAGTCTCAGGTTAATTCAACATGGTTAATATTCACCAGCTTGCCTGCACCTTTACGATATTGTCTAAAAGTTGAAGAACTTTTTGGTAAAATAGCACAGTGAACAATGCATCCAAAAGGTCAAACACCTACCAGCATATTACTGAGAAAATAACCCTGGAAATAAAGTAAGATGCTTCCTCCTATAATACAAATGACTAGTTTCCTGCAGAGCTTGGGGTTGGTGAATTCCTGCAATTTATTGAGCGTCCTTCAAATGATGAAGCACAAAAATGAATTAATTAAAAGGTGATTTATGCCTGAACAATGAGCAGGTGAAAGGTCATGATCATTGCTCGTCCACAGCTTGTACAACATGAGAGAGAAAAAAATAATTTTATTAGAAAGGCACGGGTTAACGAAACCACACCTTGAGTGCTGCAGCAAACTAGCATGGAAGGTGCTGGTTTTGGATTGAATATGGTAAGCAGAATTATGCTCCCTTTATTGTCATACCTGCACAATGAAGATGGCTGCAGCTAGGATTTTGCCATTATGATAACCAAACAGCAAGTTGGCTATGTAGGCTGGTATGACACTTGTGAACTGTTGAATTTAATTAAAGTTGTCTGTTGCAATTCCTACTTGTAAGGCAGAATGTTTACAGTAAAAACAGTTTAGCAATCAAATGCAATTTTACACAATATTTATATTTATTGCATTAGTGATGGTTGCAAACCTCACAGAGTTCAAGTTAAAACTATACTTTCAAGCTTTTGCATTTGAAGTTTGTCATATATAGTCCTGGAAAATGCTTTGATTTTTTAAAGTTTTTTAGTAAACCTTAAATATGAGAGGTACAAATGTTACAGCCTTCCCAAAAGTTACGGTTCATCAATGTAGAAACAATTCAACATCTTAAAAAATTCCAAGCAGATAGATTTGAATGTATTCAATTCAATGTGTGCAAACTTTGTTCAATTTAGTCTACATGGTCACTAATATTGTGGTAAGCTATATTTTGTCTGCTGTGCATGAGAAACCTACAGATAAAACATTCATACTGTTTGGTCTCTGGAACTTTTGACAGCTCCATCTGCAAGGTCACCAGCTGTTCTCCTCTGTACTCTTGGTTAGATATCTTGCTTTGGCGTCTGAAGCTGTTTCCTGGCACCGTTTGATTATTTGCTCTAAATACAACAATTTCTTCCAGAAATTAACTGAAGCACAAGGCACAAGCTGAACAAACAGAACTGCATAAAAATGCATTGTTAAGCTGTTTAGTGTTTGAAAGATTTCAAGGCATGTCCCACAAGTTATTAGTTCTATATGTTGATTTCCTATTGTATAGAACATCCTTTTCTTTTCATCTTTGATTTGCATGTTCCAGTATTTTTGTTCTCTGCAAAGTTCCTGCCTTTTGCTGTCCCTTGCAGTGGGATAATCAGAAATAAAGAAAAAAATAAACAGTTACGAGGCTGCTAAATTTAATTTATGCAAATCTTTGAGAACGTCCAAAAGACAATATGGATTACTGTTTTAAATTTTTCACTAAGCTCCAAAGAGCTGCCATAATGTGCTTGACAGCTTTTAAGGCCTAGGTAGACATTGTTGTTTGAATTGCAGCAGTTACATCAATGTTATTAGTGCCCTGAGAATGAGTGTTCACACAAAAAAGTTAGTTGAACACTTAGAGCCTAGCATTTATTCAAGTGAGAAATCACGTATCCATAGTATTGAGTATTCGGAACCTCTGAATAACTTTCAAATTTGAGTTGTTCCAGTTCACTGAACCTGTCACTGACTGGGTTTAGATGATCCAAGCTTGTCTGACCCACCAGCTACACAAGTCAAGCTGGTAGAATATATCATCCAACTTTGCAGTTTCAAAACTTTAGGAGCAAAGTTTAATAAATGTTGGCAGGATATCTTTAATTATGATTGATCACAACTTACCTTTACAACTATTAGATATTCTTGCTATATAAAAGTTTAACACAAAAGGGTTGTGCCACTTATCATAAAGACAGATATAATATAGAATTTCACCTACTGAATACTCAACTATTTGAGTGGTCTTTTGCAAGAAAGAGAGATATGACGAGACCAACATCAATATAAAGAGCAACTCACATAATTTGTGAAGTTAGGTAGGTACCTATCAACATTGCAGCAGGGGCACTGTGCAATGCATAAGTGACATCTGATCTGCAAAAGGTGCAGGCAGTGGTTTGCCAATCATCAGTTGGTCATGTTGATGCATCTCTTTTGACAACTTGTGGAATCCGTACCCTTGAGAAGAACAGCCTGGTGGCCTTGATAGTTTCTGCTGCCACAGCTTTCTTTCCACTGCCTTTACAGTTTTTACAACTGAGCACACTGACAATCTCTAAAGATCTGTCATACCAGCTTGTGATAGTGTTTTTGTCAGAAGGATCGATTGATACGTCTACTGGTAACAGGTGCTATGCCACAACGACTGGTTTATGCTCGGCAAACAGGACTTGCACCTTTTTGCTGATTTGACACCATGTTTACTTCTGCATTACATAGTGTCATCACCAGGATTGTGATGCCAGCAGGTAGTTTAATTCGCAGATTATTTGAGTTGCTTTTTATATTGGTGTTGATCTCATTATCACATCTCGTTTCTTTTTTTGTAGCGATACACCACACAAATGAGTAAGAATCCATGTGAATACTCGGTATATATCCTCACTTATAGACCGACACGCTGTTTACAAACAAGCCCGCGTTTTCCCACACCAGGTGTGGGCACGCGCGTGTGCAGAAACCAAATTCGCGCAAAGCATCTGCAGATGCACAGTGCCGTCGACAGCGCCACCGCACAATGTGGAGTAAATGTGGAGTTGAATGTTACTATTTTTTTTTTCAATATAAAAATAAAGTTTAATCAAAAACATACACTAAATTTATTAAGAAATAACCGGTGTCCAAAGATACTTCTGAAGCTGCATTTGGCATTGGCGCCCTTGTGATTGGCAGTACTAACTGCCCTTGAGAACAAGTGTTACTTCAATGAATGTCAGTACTTTAAAATAGTCAAACTCCTAGATGCACAACACCTTCAGCTGCTCTCCCCATCCTACAAAATTACAAGTTCACATCTTTCACTGTAATAAAAAACACAACCCCTCCTCCCTCTAAAGAGCACAAATAGTACGATCCAAACTGGAAACCGGAGCAGTGGCTTTTGTCGCGGTCCAGGAGTACATTGGCCCATCATATTGAATGAACCTTGAGAAGATCAACGCCAAACTTTTTTTTTTGTTAGTGGTCCAAAATTTAAAAGAACCGAATTGGCCTTTTCTCAGGACCACTAACCCTGTGCTCTGACAAACTTAATTTGTAAGATACTGTTTTCTTGTCTTTTTTTATTTTCCCATGGTGACCTCAAACTCCGTTTTTCGAATGAATCTGAATTGTCAAAAAATTTACCGGCGAGTGTTTTCAGAGTTTATCCGAAACCACAGAACCCAACTTATACCCTATTCTAGTTCCCCAATTGGAACCATTAGAAATGAATGGGTAAGAGAGGTGCTGCTAGTGAGGTTTTGTTTGTGTCCCTAGAGCCATAAAGGCTCATAAAAAATTGTCTTGAGAAATTTCAATGCAGACACCAACTTTCGTGTGGCTGTTCTATAAAAAAAATAAAAAAAATATAGATTAAAAAAAAAACTCAAATCTGCAAAGCGAGATGTGGCATCAATAAAAGCCACTAAAAACCACACAAATGCAGCTGCCATGTATGATCTACATTTAAGGTGCTTGCAAAATGACTTCTAAAGTTTAGCAGAGTCCAGCGCTATGGTGGCACTTTTCTGCATCTGCATTTACAGTCACCCCTGCCGCTCCCCAGTTCACTCTATCCGCTACTACAATGCCATACAATAGGTTAGATTAACTGAGGCTCATCTAACATAGGTCACAAAACCAGATTATGGGGCTGTGCTTGCATGATTGGGTTGCATGTGACAAAGAAAATGGGATGTCAGTGGAATGCCTCATTACTGTAATATCCTGAGAGCTGCCCTATATTTACCTTGATTTGCTATTTTCTTCTCAAGCACCGAAAGATGGCCCACTCCTTGTAAAGGCAGTGTTCTGATAAATGATGACCTCGGGTGTAAATGCGGCTTGTTAGCTACGGCGGGACATAAGCCAACATTGCCGACTGGAAAGTGTGGTTATCTTTGCTACACTGCCCCTCGCCATAACAACAGCATTTTTTAAACTTTTCTCGATTGGACGCCGAAAGTTAGCCCACTCCTTATTTTTTGGTTTGCTCTAGATTTTAAGTGGGCTACAGTCAAACTCGTTTATAACGAACAGCAGGAAACACTACAATCAGTTTGATATAGCAAGTAGTTCGATATAGCAAAAAAACATTTACAACGAACTTCCACGATGTGTTCGTTGTAAGGCGAGAGCTTATCTTTCTATCTGATCTCTTGGCTCCTGCCTTGTAACATGACGCTAAAAAAAAAAAAAAAATTGTTTGCATGCACTTTTTTTTTAGCTGATTTTCTCTTTTGAATTGCTTCCCTTCGTGGCAACCGCTTTGGGATGAAAAGATTTTTTTTTTCTGTGCGTGCGTGCAAAGTGTTTATTTTTTAGCTTTCTCCCCTTCTGAATCGCTTCTCTTCGCTCAAATTCATTCGCAACTTGAGCTTTTGAAATTTTCTTTCTTTCCTACTTTTTTTGGGGGAGGGAGGGAGGGGAGGGGAGGGGAGGGAGGGAGGGACGGGAGGGACAAGCTAGAAAACGATTGTTTGCAGGTTCTTGGAAGCCTTCCCGGGGTAAAAGTTTGATATAGCCACTGTGTTGTTCGTTATAAAAAGCACTTTTTACATGCATTTTTATTTAAATTTTCCACGAGTTCAGTATTGACAATAATTCGCTGTACGTGGGTTCATTCTAAACAAGTTCCACTGTATATCTCGGGATTTACGGCAGATACTTCTCTCAGAAGTGAATGTTAGAATACACATGCTGTAACAAGCTTCACACAGGCATGCTTGCTAAAACTGCCAAACCAACCATTGGACACTATGGTAAATCCCAAGACTGGGGTGCAAAAAAAAAAAAAAAAGAAGTCTCCCGGAACTATTTGGGAGAAGGAGAGGGGAGGTGGGCGATTTTCTTCCACTTCTTCCATATTGTTAACATTACATTTTTATTTCAAATCGCGGGGGGAAAGTTTGGTCTTTCCTGTCTACTCTGTCCCGATGTCACTAAGTGGAAAATAATCGCATGGGACGGACAGCATCTTTCGAGATGCTGTTTATCACACTTTTCTCTGTTACCTTACTGCCGTAACTCTTCGACCCCGGTCTCAGGATTTGCTATCTTGCTCAATATACACCAGCTCGTCTGCACTCCCATTTTTTCGCAAACCAACCACATTCTTGTTTTTTCTGCAAGTTGACTAAACCTGCCTGCCAGGTTAGTATATAAGATGGCGGCAAGGACACACAGAGACTTCAAAAATTTGGTTATCTGTCTCCTATACATTTAGACCAGCGTGAAATTTCCAATAGAAACCTCTACCAGTTCACTTGCACATTTCTTTCGTTCCAAAAACTTTTAGTCATCTAGATTTCTAATTTTATTTCTCAAAAACTGTGTTTGGGGATGGGAGTAGGCAACAAAGGAAAAACCAAAAGAAAGAAACCAAAAGGCATATTTCTTGTAAGGCATGCCCCATTAAGCATTTATTATACATCCACAAAGTAATTACATCCAACACAGGAACAGTCTTGCAGTGGGAGACTGGGGAAATCCAAGATTTGGAACTTGAAAACTGTACAATCCAAAGCCAAGTATTTTTTTTTAATTTTTTTTTTTAACTTTCCGAGAGCGGACAACTGTGTAGTACTCAACCTAGATGCCCAAAATCATGCTTGCCACATATGCACACTCTGAAATTTTGCACTGAAACAAAACACACAAAAACTTCGTGCAAAAAAGCAAAATATATGGGAGTGAAGCAAACAAGCCATCACACAGAAGCACACACTTAAAAACATATATACAGACATTATTTACCTTATCAGAATGGCATGCTTACAGTGCACAATCCCTGCATGCTGTTGCTTCTCAAGCCCTATATTACTGTACACAGTGCATTATAAAATAACGGTGAAACTTTAGAGCTCGAAATAAATTAATTATTGTAACTGAAGAGAAGATGGAGGTGTATCTAGCCCACAAGTGTCCTAAAATAGCTCTACCTCTGACACAATGTTCAACTCCTCCCCAAGAACACTTTTGTACTTGAACTACAACACAACATGAAGAAAAAAAAAAAGATTATTTATAGTGTGGCCTGAGAAGCCAATTCTAAAGGACCAGCCTCGTGAAGAAAATGTCTCGGCATCACCTTAATTATTGATCAGCAAGTGTTGGCAACATATATGAAACTTTTGAAGTGCGGATGTGCCCCACAGTGTACCCGTTTCGTCAAGCCGGATTGCTCCTCTACATTCCCAAGGTTAATCCACATCAGGGGGGTTAATATCACAGCGTATTGGTTACTCCCACGGTATATTAGTGGAAGAAATTAGGACAAACCAAGCTTCAAACTGGCAGTGACTTCACACCAAGAGTTGCAGAGCATCGTCATTCCATCCACAAATACTTTGGCAATATAATTATGGTAGAAAATTGGTTCCTTATTCTACAAGATCCTTAACAAAAAAAAAAAAGAGGTTCTATTAAAATAGCAAAACTTTAAAGAAAATGTGCGAAGAGGAAGCGTGTCAAGACCACCCATAATGTGCCTCTTAATTACCGTAGATTCTGTCAACTGATGGCGAGAGGCCTACGACAGTTCTTTCCTGGTTGCAACTTCCTTGGACACACTGTGCTACGGTGGTGCAGCCTCCGGTCACATGGCCCTTTCTGTCGTAACCTTAAAAGCACTTTACAGCATCCCACACCTTAGGAGATCGCCACCTCCCACAGTCACAACTGAATACTTTGTAAGCCTGATTAAAGCAATCGACAATCCTGACTACAAGTGGGAATGAGTGGCCAATTACCAGTGGCCTTCCACCACAATCAAACACTCTGCCTTGCCAGCGAGGCATTTTTGCCTACCAAAGAAAAAAAAAAAAAAAACTATTCATGAACACAGCGGTGGTGGAAGCGGTTCGGACAGCCGACGGAGTATGCCAGTAAACTTTTTGGAAGGGGAAGAACCTCCACCTGTGAGGCGCTCCTAGAGTGGTTTTCCGGGGGCCCCGCCCGGTACGCTTTGTGACCCCGACGACATGTGACTACTTGCTGGTGCTGGATGCTCTGCCCTTGTCTCTTTGGCATCTGGACCCCCCTCCCTCACCCGTACCACTGAGTCGACAACAGGAAGGGAAGTTGTGCGACAGTCACGACGCGATAGTGAGAAGCTCCTTTACCTCGAAGGGTTCATCGTCATCCAAATCAACCAAGCTATTGGGGTTATAATTCTGTAGGTCCGTCTTGCGCACTGTCCGCCCCATCGGGTCAAAGGGGTCCACCACGACTTGCTCCGTGCCCTTGATCTCCGCCCTGCAGAACGGGCAGCCCTGTCCCTCGGAGTCCTGCAAAGTGCAATGTTCCATGCGTGAAGATCGCCAAATAGTCACCGCACCGTGGCTGTACCAGGGATAAAAGCGGCATTTGACCTTTTGTAGCAGGTTCTGTAGCAGGCAAAATATTGATTTTGAACAGTCACTGATGCTTTTCAAGCAAATGCCAACATCTGTCAGCCCATCACTTGAGAATGAAAAAGTGATTGCATCTATAAATGAGTTATTTTATGATAGTGACCAAGGGTTCCCCTTTGACACTCAAGCATATTACTTATTGGGGATGTCGCGAACCACCCTAGGTTCGAATTTGAAAGGTTTCAATATTTTCTAACCACCTAAAGTTCGAGTTTGAAAGATTTAGATATTTTTGAACCGTACCGAAGTTCGAATTCGAAAAGGTCCTAACTTTCGAACACCGTGGAGTTTTGAATTTAAAATGTTTGAAGCTTTCACGGTTTCTAAAAGTTTGGGTTAGAACATTTAGAATATTGTTTTACTTGAGGTTTGAGAAATTCTAAGACTTCGAACTTTCCTAACTTGAAATTCGAGAGATAAGAAAATTTTGAATTTCTTAGGATCTGAAATTTGAAAAATATGAACGTTTTCGAGTTTTTATAAGCATAAAGTTTGAAAAATTCACAATTAGAAGGTTTCAATTCTCTTTTAAAGCCAAATTAAAAGAAAAAAAAATTTGGAAGATTTTGAATTTTTTTTAAGTCCAAGTTTGTAAAGTTCAAAGTCCAGTTTTCAAATTCCTCCACAGTTTCAAATAATGTTTTCACGCCTCACTGGTTTTCACGAAATCAGGTTTAGAAAAGTTTGGGTGTGATATTTAGACTGCGCAAAGTTGGTCATGCAGTCAAATGAGACGACGAGTGTCCCGGATGTGCTGGAATATTTGCCAGTGCAGAGTGACGCGTGACCATAGATCAGTAATTGTGACCGCCAGCCCGGGGGGGGGGGGGGGGGGGGGTCTTTAACGTGCATCACACAGCTGTGATCACACGAACGCACTGTTCTATGATACTCATCCAGTTCAAACGGCCAGGAGCAGGCAGGTGGTTGAGGCTCAGAAAAACCTTCAAGCGATTTGGCGAACTACCTCCCCACCGCCTTGCACGCTGGTAGTAATCTGATCGAACGCCGCCCGAGTGACGCTGGCATATAGTAAGTTTAGTCTGTAATTGTTCTGGAGTTTTATTTTACGGGACCGATGAAATGCTGAGCAAAAAGCACAGAAGCAGACACAACTCGAGGTCGAGGAGCGTTCTACCATACCAGCGGCGTCGAAAGAAGAAAAACGGGAGAGAAGAAGGGGGAGCAGTGCAATATTTCGGAATGTTAAAGGAAAACAATACAGGAAAAAAGTGTGTGGTCGAGCTTATTTTAATCTGAAATTATTTATGCATATGTATAGCCACTGTCGCTCTTCACTGCATAAAAGATTGTGTATACATGGTCATTGTCGGAAACTCGTTGTAAGAAGGCACTACTCATCACACGTTTAAAGGTTCTGAAGTTCAAAGCTATGTTTTTTCGACCTAAATAACTGCGCCATTGGTAAAAAAAATTAAACATAACAGCAAATGCAAAAATAAAAAGTTGGAGAGAGAAAAAAAAAAAAAATAAGAACTATCCACAATTTGTTGGAAGTGTTGTATTCTTGCATATTCAGAGGCTCAGAACTTCGAAACAAGTTTCTCCTACCAAAATGTGTACAGGCTAAAAAAAAACAAATCCCAAAAACGTGATGCGAAAAAAAGAAAAAAGTTAAAAATGGCTTTTTTTGTTAATGACTTGCTGAACTTGAACAATATTAGAAATCTTTTCCCATGAGTTAATTTATTCCTCAACGTGAAAAAACAATAAATATACGAAGGTGTAGTTAGGGAGAAGACAATGCAGCCAAAGCTCAAGGGCGAAAGGCTGCGTGTGCTAACAGCTGATGGACAACAACCTCTCGTCACTCAAACACCAGGGAAAAATGACCGCATCTCCACGTGGTGAATGATGTTGATTGCGGCGAAGCTCTGGTGGCGCTGATGATACTGATTTTATTGTTCATAGGTAAGGCTGATGGTGCCGATTTTCTTTTATTGCCCATAGGTAGTGCTGAGTTCCGGGTTACATTTCGACTTCATTATTACTGCTTTATGGTCGGTGAAATGGTGGTTCTTCTAGCAGATCAGCTTGGATCCGCTAGAAGCCGTGGGAATGCATCTCCACCGCTTAAGTCAACGGTCCATGTCAGAAAGAGAATGTGTGTTATGGAACGTGGGTATATACGCATTTGAGCATTTGACCGCAGCGCCCTCTCGTCTATAAACGTTGAGCCAATGCATGCAAAGTTTAACGCGATTATGTACGCATTTGACCGCAGCGCCCTCTCCTGTGTAGACGTTAAGCGGCTACATGCAACGTTTCACCCACGACATCCCCAGCTCTTGAGTTACTACCACATCTCAGTGCCCCCTACTCGTCCTGCAGTCGTGGCCGAGTGGTTAAGGCGATGGACTAGAAATCCATTGGGGTCTCCTTGCACAGGTTCGAATTCTGTCGACTGCGCAAACATTTTTAATTTTTTTTAAGAAGACAGATGGGATGGCAATCGCTGTGAGCACGGACGCCGGATAAGGCTAGACCCTAAGGAGCTTCGCTCCCAATACATTATTTTGTGTTCTGCAGATGGCAATGATATGTACTGTCTGTGGTGTTAATTTAAATGCGATACCTCACACAATTTAGACGAAAAAAATTACCAAGTTTAGGGCATTAATTGCCCGTAGATATACACGTTTGGACATTTCTTCAAAACTCATCTTGAATAACAATAATCATATCTTAAGACGGCACTTACCTGGGCTATACATAGATCATTCTTAAAAAAGTTTCACATATCTACCATAAATAGCTTCGGATATAGCGCGCTTCAGATATGGCACAAACAACAATCGTCAAAAACCCGTCGTCCTTCTCGCTCCTTTGGGAATTTATTTCTTTAATACCAAGCATGCCAGAACATTGAAATAAACGGCGTTGTCTTTTGCAAGGAACGCTACACAACATGTACAAATTCGAGAAAAAAAAATTACGAATGTACCTTACAGTTTGAATCCGAATGAAACTGCCCGCCGGTCTTTCAAAGTTCGACGAACCTCAAACTTTTACAATAAAAGTTTGAAGTTCGTTGAACTTTCCACTTCACAGGATTCGAAAGTTCGAAAATTTTCACATTCCCTAGATAAATAAGTTTGAAAGTTATCGAAATTCTTAGCATAGGAAGTTCGAAAAGGATAACATTTTTCAGCGTAACAAGTTCAGAGGTTCGAAAAACATTGCATTTCTGAATGTGCAAAGTTTAAAATGCGTCAAACTTTTTAGTCTAACAAGTTTGAAAATTCGACTTTCATCAAATTTTTCGACATAGAAAGTTTGAAAATTCAAAATATTTCGAACCGCTCGATTCGATCATCGAAGCTTCGGTTCGAAAAAAGTTTGGCGCATCCCTATTACTTATTACTAGGGTTCCGTGTTTTTGGAGTTTATTTGTCGTGAAACTCGGAGGGTGTTTCTCTGAGTTTATTTTTCGATGGAAATTCGGGGTTAATAGGAGTTTATTTTTGTTAGATTCCCAATTTTTTTTTTAAATTTCCGCCGTTCTGAAGGAATTTTGACAAGCTAAAAGGCAAACCCCTTTTCTCATTAGTTTGAGATTTAATAGGAAAGTAAAGTTGCATCCCCTCAGGGCCACTGACCTTGTGCTCTTTTAAAAATTGTTTCTAAAACACCGTCTTTTTTTTTTTTTATTTTGTTGTCAGGACATTGAAATTCTGAGTTTTTCAAATAAATCCGAATTGCTGGAAAATTTACCGGCGAGCGTTTTTCAGATTTTTTCAGATTTATCCGAAAACACGGAACCCTACCGATTACTGTTTGGGGTAAGACTAGATAGGGCAGGGGTGGCCAGGCTGACCCGGCCTAAGAGCCGCCAAACAAAACCACGAAACTTTTAAAAGCCAAGAGGGGGGGGGGCAAACTTTTGTCCAGAGCAATAAACAATACTCAGACTACTTTCAATCTATCCGAGTGAAAAGCAGTCCAACTGTACGTAACGTAGCACTAGCATAAGACTACCAAACCACAACCTGTCTTTCCATTTAAAACACATTCCATTTATCTTTTTGGGGAAGTGCTCGTGTGACCGATAGGGAGGGGGGGTGGGGCGGAGGGGGGGGGGGGAGTAGGGGAGGGAGTCGTGAACCGCACTTTAACACGAGAAAAGCCCCAGCTTGGCCACCTTTGAGATAGGGTGTAAAAGAAACAGTCTTCTTAAATAAGGCTCTATTCAGAGTTGATTTCACTTACAATGGATATTAAAAAATGGTTGAAAAGTGAATCTTCATTAGGATAAATCCTCTCTCCCCTCCTCATTTTACTCGGTAGTTTGTTTAGCCTGTAAATATAATTTCTGTAAAATGCCAGCAAGAGCCAGCACATCCGCTAAATTGTCTACTAATAAAAAATGTGTCCCACAACTTTAATGAACCTACCGAACTCAACATTCTAATGTCATAAACTGCAAAAACAACCCCCCCAAAATATTAAAAGAGCCTACACTTGTGCTTTAAAAGTGAAACTGCTCTTTAGCAGTGAGGGAACCACAGTTACGTCAAAGTTTGTTGCTCTTTCGATCGACAGCTGCATGGGAACAACCGTGAGTACCGTATTTGCTCAAATATATATATAGACCAGTGTTTTCTTCCCTCTCTTTCTCCGCCCAAGTTTTTTTGTTCTTTTTTTTAATTAGAGATTAAATTTTTATTAGGACAAAGAAGGTTGGCCTGTAATAATCCTAAGTATAATTTGCATGCCTATCGCGCTAAGTCAGGCGTTCCCCCAGGTCAGCCGCTGCTCCTAGCACTCCGGTGCAAAGCAGTGAAGCTCAACGTGCGCATGCTAGTGAGAGGCAGAAGTTGACGGGAGCGGCGCAAGTGACACGGTACTCTGCA